CAGGACAGAAAGAGGAGCGATAGTGCAACCGTTTTCGGCAGAACGTTTGTCTAGGCATTGACTTCACTTGTCTCTTTGACGAATTCGTAACTTAGTGTGGACAATGACAAAATGCACTGCTGATGCCGGCTATGATACCGGCGAAACGTTTGAGAATGTACCAAGTCCACTGTCCGATGCTGGGAATCATGACAACTACTGTGGCAGACGACTTCGGACTAGGTGCGTTCTACTAAGTACTCCTGACAACAAGACCAAGTTGCTACCACGAGGTCAATCCAATTCTATAAATCGAAAGGAGACTGCGACCATACCAGAGGTCACAACATCTTGGTCTTCATATATTCAATGTTGTCTATTGTTACAACTTTGCTTCATCGATAATCCCAACACAGAATTTCAGGAAATGCCAGGTATTTCCCTAAATTTCATTCGGTGGTCGGATTGCCGATGAAGCAACGTTATATTTGCTCTAACAATCGACTGCATTACTTATTTTTCGTTTTATAAGTATGTTTTCAAGAGTTCGAGTCCTGCTGGACGTGGTGATGAGAACTAGGCGAGGTTAAAACCGCAGTCAACTCATGATTGAATCAAAATACTTTTTGCAAAATCAAGCATAGGAAAAATTCAATAAAAACATAGGGTTTACTTATATGACAGAGGAAAAATTTAACTGATAGTCTCAAAAACCTGTTTCTAAAACAAAATAGGGAGTCGCCTAGCCTCTTCAACGCTGGGTTGGCTGAATGAGGTATCGTCGACGCCGTGAGGCTTGTGTGTGAATTTGGCGCGAGGTGTAACGATGTTTGCCAAAGCCAAGCACAACCAATGAGACCTCTGCCACTATACTCATTCTGTATCTTTTGTCATTATGGTTATGATAATTTGCCGCCTCGTAGCAGACCTCGTCATTGGGAAGCGGTTTTTTTCCCACCAAATAACAACTTGTGAGGCTAGCAAGTAAAGGCAGTTCACGAGACTGGCTCTTCTAATAAAGGTCAGGCTAAGGGGGCCAGAATGATGAGGGAATGGTGTAAAGGTGAGAGCAGCTGATAACTGTACGTCTGGGGTTCACTGTGAAAGGGGACTTAAAAGTGATGCAGGCAGGAGAAACACAGATTCAAAGGTCTATCATATACTTTTATTCTACTTTCGGAGTGTGCCATGTGAAAAGCTTCTCTAGTGTGACGGAATCGAGGAGCTACAGGTGGAGATAACAGCTGATGTAAGTTGGGTCAGGCAGAAATACCGTTTTAGCTCAGGACGCCTGCAGATGTGCTGCGAAATCGCTGGTGAAAGTGGTTGCGACCCACTTAACCCCCTTGAAGGAGCAAGCATTTAGGAGATGTTGGGGCAGATCGAGATACAGAGGAGTGCAGATGGGATAATTGTCTGAAAGATGGGGCAGCAATTATCGAGGATAGGGACAGAAGAGAAAAATGGTCAACAGGATTGCCTTTACTCGTCGCTTCGACGAGGTGCCGGGGCTCGGTGTCTGGGCTGGAGCTTTCCATCGGCAATGCCAAATGTGAAGTTGGTGAATTAGCTGGCTGCGAATCTATCAAATCGACCTTCTGGTTACAGAATTTAGCACGAATACTATGGCCAAGGTTACAGGATTGGGTACCCCTTTCGAGGCAACCATGACTCTGTGATAAAAGTACACAAACGAGGTCAAACCAGCATATATGAAGAAAGTTTTATGGCGACATGAATTTAGTTTTGTATGGGAGTTTGCTGAAGGTAATTTATGCAATGATATCGCTGCAAAACGAAGGAAGACTGCTTTGACGTGAAGTGAAGAATGTTTGATTATGCAATAAATTGTTTGGTTCACTGTCCTGCGACTTTGATGCGTGCGTGGCAAGCAAAAGTTGTGAAAAAGCGCACCAAATGCAGCATTGCATTTGTTGGCCAACCGTATTTTGTGCGATTTTTGGTAAATTATGATTTCGCAGCAAGACAGTCAAAAGCATGGCACAAGTTCATTAAATTCTCAGGACTTATTTGTAGATTGCAACAGTCTTCGCTCCACTAGAAGACAATCCTGTCTTGTTTTGGCAAAGACAAATTGACAATTGTCTTCCAGCCAACTAGTTCTTTAAAATAAAAATTATAATCACCCCAAAGCCCTTAAGGATGCATGTCTGTGGCTATGGGAAAGCGGACGAAAATGGGCCAAAGGGTACGACCTTGTTCGGCTGGTTGCCGGGAAGGAAGAAGGGGGGCAGGGGAGTCTGAAAGAAAGCAACTTACCAGACAGAACATTGCGTCACAGCGCCTTCAAGACGAGCTCCTGCAAAGGATGCGGAGGCGATTGTCGGGCCACGGGAGAGGAACGTGTTTGCCGGCCGGCGGAGGTATGTACTTCCAGGATCGGGAGATTGCACACTCGAGTCTGTTCACGTCCGAGTGTCTCTTGAGTCGGGCTGACGGTAATAGCGATCCGACTGACCGACCTCGGCCCGGCCCGGTCCGGCCCGTCCTGGCCCGGGTTGAATCGCGATGGAGGGCCGAGTAGGTCCTACCCGCTATCGGGCCTCATTGGTGGAGCCGACTGAAAGCGGCCGGTTGGCTGGACTCACGACCCTTTCCAATCTCTCTTCGACTCGCTCCATTCGTCTTCTCACCCTCTCCTCGGCTCAACCACCAGACTGCGCTGTGCTCATCAGTTTGTATCCTGGGCGTAGGCACACTTGAGGAGGCCACTCTTGCGGCAAACATCAGGCCTCATCATGACCAGGTGAATCTGGGTGGAGTTGAGAGAACATGAACCCCTGGATGGAGTCCTCTGCGCTATTAGCTGGGGCCTTTGTATGCATTTGTGTGTGTGTGTGTGTGTGTGTGTGTATAGACGGACTAGCAAGCATCTTACACGTTTCTCGACGCTTGCAAGTGCATGTGCACACCCTTATTCACAAACATATATATAAAAAGTACACACCTACATTCCTGTATATATATACATATATATATATATAACTGAATGCATGTATGTATATGAATATATACTTTATTCCTTCACTATTTCCCTTATATTTTCTCTCCCCATACTTGTTCGGGCATTCATTCCGACCGACTTTATAGCCATCTTGCCCCCCCTCTACCTGGCTCTC